TTCTACATTCACTTAATTATACAAAGAGTTTTGAGATATATAGTAATAATATTCACTAATTTCCTAGCTTGTTTACGTTTCTTTTAGCTTGATAATTGACTAAGATCAAGTGCATTTGCTACACTCAAATTTCATTAAAGAAGAGGTTGCCTTTTCACTNCAAGTGCATTTGCTACACTCAAGTTTCATTAAAGAAGAGGTTGCCTTTTCACCCTATTCTCATTGTGATTGAACTTCGATTCTATTATAATTAATCGATAGTCGTGCAATATTTCTTTGTCTTTCAGATAGCTCTGAAATTAAACCGTAGGGTCAGGTAGAGCCATGGATAGCTTATTTGGGTGGGAAAAAAGTCACAAACGCCAAATACATAAAATTAGCTTATAGTATAAAGAAAGATAGAATAGGCATTATCTCCTGATATTACAAAGTAAGTACATTTAAATGTTAAAATTTATAGTAATAACCCCCTTTAATCATAGAAAAGAATACACATATGGAACTATGGCCAAATAGGAAATACGAATATGAATATGAATATGAATATGAAAGAGTAAATATCATAAACCCCCTTTTTAAACCCCCTTTTAACTATCAACTTTTTTTGAGTTACCTACTTACACGATAGGGCGCCCCGAACTATATTCTCCTTCATATTAAAATTCCTCGGTTGAATTCTTAGAAGTGTGTCTGGTACACGCTCCTAATTAACTAAAAATATGTCATGTGGCACTACACGTGACTATTTAACTCAGCCTAAACCTCTCCCTTCCCCTCCCCCCAAACTATCTGGTGGCCCCAAAATTCCTTTGAACTATATTCNTCTCCCCCTCCCCAAACTATCTGGTGGCCCCAAAATCCCTTTGAACTATATTTCCTTATATGTTAAAACTCCTTGTTGAATTCTTAGAGGTGTGTCTCGATAACTATTGGAGAACTTCCCATTGAAGGACACTTAAATTGAAGGAGCTCTGCATCTTAATGAAAGTCTGAAAACTAAAGCTAAAAATTGATGTTGAAATGCTTAAGTCACGGTCAATGAAGAATTTCTCTATCATAATAAAACAGGAAGAGGGTATACATTTTTAATTTCTTATTTGGTTGACCAAATTTACTCAGTGTTAGTCTTTATTTCCATGAGGAAATTTCTAGTTCTAAACAATCAACCTAATTATTTTCCCCAATAAGATAGAGGGTACATTATGTTTTGTCAAGGGGATATATATTTGGTAAGTGAAATAAAGCAATTGTGCTCATCAATTGTGGCGCTTTTGTAACTGGACAAACCTTCTTAGGGAGGCCACGATGAGACGACTGTGCTATATGGTTGTTTTTCTATAACTGCTCGATATCAAACATCATCGTTTCACAGGGTTGGAATTCTGTTGTCCTTGACAAATATTCATGTATCACACCTTAACAAAACAACAAAATTGCAACCATTTATGGCTGAGAGAGTACTATGTTAGATTAGTGTCACACCAATTTGGATTCTTTAAAGTTAAGTCACTCCTCCTTTTCATGTTTTCCACTTCCAAGATACATTTAAGCTGATATTTTGACGAAAAGAACAACATTTTCATTAATTAGGGAGAAACAAGCTGANCATTATATAGGGAGAAACAAGCTATTGAGTGATTCGAACAAATGTAAGTTGATTAATATTCAGCTGAACATGAGGGAAGGATCAATGAGTTTAACAATGACAAAGGTGAAAGCTGAAGCAACTAAAACTGCACTCCTTACCTAATGCCGAAGCATAGGATTTTAATTAGACAAAGACGATAGTGTCACGACCCATTTTCTGAACAAGCCGTGACCGGTACTCTGTCGCCAAATTTAACCGAGCAAACCATCTGCACTTATTTTATTAGTAACAAATAAATATTACACGTGGAATTATATGAGGATGACAGGGCAAGATACGTAGATCACTAAGAAGATGACAACTGGAGTGTCGCATTAAAAGATCCAAGATTTACAACAGGTACGAGCAAATCACTCACGAGTCGAAAGGGTACGGTTGCTCAAGCCTAAATTACTCAGTGAAGAGACATATGCAGGATGAATCAAGACAGTAAAGAGGGAAGATTCATGAACCTCTAATTAATGTAGAAGAAGAATCAGAACCGTTACAGAATCTTCATGAACAGTTACGGTTGCCAATTATAACGTTTCATTAATGCTCATAATGATTCGGTCATAAAAGGGAATAAACGTTATATTTGTAAATTCCTATATAAGGGAAGGGAATTTCACTTGTAAAGATATGCTCTGATTATTATTGGAATATAACTACTTTCTTGTGCTTCCTATTGATTACTTTGTCATTTCTTATTCTAATTTCCTTTCTTATTTCTGAGAGAATATTGAATTTCTTGATTATCAGTAACCCGAGTACTTCTAAAAATAGGCTTTGACTGAGAATCTAATTCTTTGGTTAAACAAATTGGTCCCGTTACCGAAAATCTGATAATCTTCTCTTACTTTCCAAATCACTCTCTCTCAACTGAATCATGTCGAATGTCAATGACAACAACCAGCAGGTGGAAGGAACTCAAGTTCCGTCACCTCAGGGAACCCCACGCAATTCAAGAGAAGCATCACCAGAAAGATCGACTACTCATAGCAATGAACAACATGGAAATGAACAAACTGTCGCGCAGGATGCTGTGAAACAATTAATTGCTGAGTACGTGAATGATGCTCTCCAGGCTTTCGAGAGGGGACTACCAGCTGTGCCACCCACACCTCCACCAAACAATACTGCAACTGTGAAAATTCCACGGTCAGGGTTGGTTAATTCTGGAAGTGAAGGAACTCCCAATGAGTCACGTGATGGGAGACCAGGTACGCCTAATAATTCTGATTTACAAACTTTAATACTAACCTTGCAGAAACAGGTGAAAGAACAAAACGACCGTATTGAGCAAATACCCGGCGTACCATCTGTGATCAAATGAGTTGATATCGACAAATATTCACAACAACCATGGAAACCAAGCGCAGCTCGATTACCAATTCCCAAAAAGTTCAAAATGCCTGACATCCCGAAATACGATGGAACGACCATCCACGTGACCACGTTACTGCATTCACCACGGGAGTAAAAGGCAATGATTTAACTAAGCAGGAGATTGAATCTGTATTGGTCAAAAAGTTTGGGAAAACACTTACCAAATGAGCATTAACATGGTACTCTCTTTTATTTGAAAATTCTATTGATTCTTTTGCTGAGCTTGCAGATCTATTTATAAAAGCACACTCGGGTGCACAAAAAGTTGAAAAGAGAATGGAGGATATATTCAAAGTAAAGCAAGGAGATACAGAATTGCTTCGAGAATTCGTAGATAGATTCCAACGTGAAAGAATGTTGCTACCAAGAGTACCTGACAATTGGGCAACCATGGCATTTGCAAGCAATTTAAACGAGAAAAGTTCAGAAGCTACGAGGAGGCTTAAAGAGAGCCTACGTGAATTCCCTGCCACGACATGGAATGATGTCTATAATAGGTACAGTACCAAGTTACGGATCGAAGAAGATATCGTAGCTCAGTCAAGGGTTGAAGAAAAAACAGGTTCGAGGCGGTCAGAATCTGAGAAAAGGTCCGGTAAGAATAGGTACAAACCTTATATAGGACCTTCGGGGCGAGAAGCTCATTCCAAATTCGAAAACGTGCGGGCTGATCATAGGTTCGCAAATAGAGATTCAGGTTCGTCATCGTCGAGATTCAGAAAAGATCAAGGTGAACGTAACAGAGATGTTAATACAAACGCAAGGATTGGGGACTACAATTTTAACGTGAGTACCTCCGAGTTGGTCGCTGTTTTAAGAAGCATGGGGGATAAGGTACGATGGCCTAAAGAGATGAGATCAAATCCAAATAGAAGAAACCCAGACTTTTGGTGCGAGTTCCATAATGATCACGGCCATAGAATATCAGACTGCAGATTATTACAAGGTGAGGTGAAATAGGCAAGAGCCCCCAAAACCTCCATCTCCAAAAAGAACAGTAAATGTGATAAACGGCAGAGAAGAAGTCAATGGCGTAACCTATACAGCCGCGAGAAAAACAACAAAGTTCACAATTACTCACGGGAAGCGAACTCGCCAAGCTCTGGAAGACGACAACATAACCTTTGATGATGAAGATGCCTATGGATTAATGATTCCTCACAACGATGCACTGGTAATATCTTTACTTATACATGATACTAATGTAAAACGAGTTTTGATTGATCCAGGTACCTCTGTGAATATCATTCTATTACGATTGGTGAACAAAATATTGATGTAGCTCTGTGAATATCATTCTATTACGAGTGGTGAACGAAATGTTGATGGGCGATCGTGTAGTTCCAAAAGCACGTTCCTTATCTGGGTTTAATAATTCAACCATTATTACAAAGGGCGAGATTGAACTAAGCACATACGTAGAAGGGGACAACAAAGAAACAAAATTTCAAGTGAAAGACATGGATATGGCCTATAATGTGATTCTTGGGAGGCCGTGGATTCATGATATGGATGTTGTGCCATCCACATTACATCAAGTTATCAAATTTCCTTCAAAATGGGGAATTCAACAAATTCGAGGAGATCAACAAACTTCAAGGAGCATCAATTCGGTGATACAGCCAAGTCAAAAAGATACGAGTGCAAGTCAAAAAGATACTAGTACAAGTCAAAAAAATGCGGGTGAGAAAAATGCGGTAAATCAAATTTCAACAGAAATTGTATCAAAACAAACAGACGTGGACTCCAGACCAGATGTAATTCAAGAGCCAGAGGAGAACGAAAATATTAAAACAACGAATGAGGAGCTTGAAGCTGTTCCACTATTCGAACAATGGCCAGATAGAAGAATTCATATCGGAGCAAGGATAAAACCAGATATGAGAGGTAAGTTAATTGAATATTTAAAAGCTAACGTGGATTGTTTTGCATGGTCCCATTCAGATATGACAGGTATACCTCCAGAGGTGATGACTCATAAATTAAATGAAGATCCATCATTCATACCTGTCAAACAAAAGAAGAGGAAGCAAGGATCATTCAAAAATCAAGTGATCGATGAAGAGGTACAGAAACTCTTAAAGATCGATTCAATACGCGAGGTTAAATATCCTAACTGGTTAGCTAATACTGTGGTAGTTGCGAAAAAAAATGGTAAATGGAGAGTTTGTGTGGATTACACTGACTTAAATAAAGCATGCCCGAAGGATTCATTCCCTTTACCGCATATAGATCAATTGATTGATGCTACCGCAGGCCACAAATTATTAAGCTTTCTAGATGCGTATTCTGGTTACAATCAAATAAAAATGGACCCCTTAGACGAAGAAAAAACTTCATTTATTACAAACAGGGGGACTTATTATTACAAAGTCATGCCTTTTGGCTTGAAAAATGTTGGAGCCACGTATCAGAGGTTGGTGACCAAGATGGTCCAAGAACACCTGGGGAAGAGGATGGAAGTGTACATTGATGTTATGTTGGTCAAATCTACACAAGCGGAAGATCATTTTCAACATCTTTCAACTACCTTCGAGATCCTCCGCAGATATAATATGAAATCGAACCCAAAAAAGTGCGCTTTTGGCGTAGCTTCAGGTAAGTTTCTAGGCTTTCTCGTATCTAATAGAGGAATTGAAGTAAATCCTGCACAGATTAAAGCTATTGAAGAAATACCTGATATACTCACAAGCAAAAAAGAGGTACAAAGATTGACAGGTGGGATTGCAGCTCTGGGAAGATTCATTTCAAGATCTTCAGAGAAAAGCTTTAAATTCTTTTCAGTATTGAAGAAGCAAAATCAGTTTGAATGAACTGAGGAATGCCGACAAGCCCTCAAAGATTTGAAGGCATACTTAACAAATCCGCCCCTACTGTCTAAACCAAGGGATGGAGAAAGACTATTTGTATATCTTGCAGTTGTAGAAGTAGCTATAAGTGCAGGTTTAGTAAGGGAGGACAAAGGTAAACAATCTCCTATTTATTATGTTAGTAAATCTTTATTAAATGCTGAAACTAGATATCCTCATCTAGAGAAACTAGCTTTAGCATTAGTCATGGCAACTAGAAAATTGAGACCATATTTTCAATGCCATCCTATCTCCGTAGTAACTGCATATCCATTAAGGAATATTTTGCATAAACAAGAATTGTCAGGCAGACTAGCCAAGTGGGAAATAGAACTAAGTGAATATGACATTATTTATCAACCTAGAACTGCAATAAAATCTCAAGTTTTAGCAGATTTTGTCGCAGATTTTAATACAAAAACAATTCCTAAAGTAGAAAAGGAATTACAAATTTTACTGGAGCTAATCCAGGTACGTGAACTTTATTTACTGATGGCTCTTCAAATGTCAAAGGAGCCGGTTTAGGTATTGTCTTAATCCCACCCTCAGGTGAAAGTATAAGACAAGCAATTAAATGTTACCCTATTACTAACAATGAAGCAGAGTATGAAGTTGTAATTGCAGGTTTGAAACTAGCACGAGAAATCTCCATAGAGCAAATCATGATTAAAAGTGACTCTCAACTGGTAGTCAATCAGATGCAGGGGACTTACACTGCTAGAGAGGCACGAATGCAACAATACTTGGAAAAGGCAGGAGAACTAGTCAGGCAATTCCAATCATGGAAGGTCGTGCAAATACCCAGGGAAGCAAATGTAGAAGCAGACGCATTGGATAACCTTGCTTTAGTTGCGGAAGTAACAAGTGAAGAAAATGCTACTGTAATACATTTATTTCATTCAGCACTTGACCAGGATAAACATGAGGTAAGCTTTAATAATTTAACCTGGGATTGGAGAAACGAGATTGTTAATTTTTTGCAGTACGGGATCGTACCTGAAGGCAAGAAAGAATCTCAAAGGCTTCGACAAAAAGCTGCTCGTTACTGCCTAATTCGAGAGAATTTATATCGGAAAATATTTGGCGGTCCTTTAGCAAGGTGTCTTGGACCCAATCAAATGGAGTACGTGATGAGGGAAGTACATGAAGGACATTGGGGAAATCACGCAGGTAGAAAATCTTTAGTTAAAACACTAATCAGGGCAGGATACTACTAGCCTAAAATGGAAGAAGATGCGGAAAATTTTGTAGCCAAATGTGATAAGTGTCAACGATATGCCAACAATATGCATCGACCTGCAGAATTATTATATACAGTTATTTCCCCATGGCTATTTATGAAATGGGGAATGGATATAGTAGGGCCTTTACCACAAGCTAAAGGAAAGGTACGGTTCTTATTAGTGTTAACATATTACTTTTCAAAATGGGTAGAGGCAGGAGCTTTCAAACAGGTACGAGAGAAGGAGGTGAAAGACTTCATTTGGTGAAACATTATATGCCGGTTTGGAGTCCCAAAAGAAATCGTATGTGATAATTGCCCACAATTTATAGGCTCAAAAATCATGGAGTTCTTTCAAAGTTAGCAAATCAAACGAATAACCTCTTCACCTTACCATCCCATGGAAAATGGACAAGCTGAGTCAACGAATAAGATTATCATCAATAATTTGAAGAAGAGACTAGAAAAATCGAAAGGGAATTGGCCTGAAGAATTATCAGGAGTGTTATGGGCTTATAGAACCACAGCAAAAACAACCACGGGAGAAACTCCGTTTTCGCTTGTGTACGGTTCAGAAGCTTTAATCCCGGTTGAAATAGGAGAACCAAGCACGAGATTCACATTGGCAACGGAAGAGTAGAACGATGAGGAATTAAGAACAAATTTGGACTTACTAGAACAAAAAAGAGAAGCAGCTTTAATACGGATGGCAGCACAAAAGCAAATCATAAAATGATACTACAACAGAAAGGCCCACCTCAGGTACTTCAAAATTGGGGACTTCGTTCTTAAAAAGGTTTTCCAATCAACGAAAACAATCGGAGTAGGAAAGTTAAATCCAAATTGGGAAGGACCCTATAAAGTTCGAGGTATCGCTGGAAAAGGTGCCTACGAGTTAGAAACCATGGATGGCAAGGTTTTACCCTCGAGTTGGAATGATGTTCATTTAAAGAAATACTATTTCTGAGCAAAAGAAATACCCACGGTCAGGTATCGTTCAGTTACAATTTTTGTTTTGTACAGTTAAAATTATACTAACAATTTTAGATGATAGGCAAAAAGCTAGCCCACACCAAATGATGATATTAGACGTGAAGGACATGCGGAAGCAACATTATTCCCGGTCTAGGGTTGCAACCTTTCTGATGGAAATATAAAGGGTTAAGCAGTCATCATCTAAATTATATATACCTCCGATTCCCGTATATTTTTCCTTTTCGGGAAATGGACCATATGGAAGGAATAATCAAGTGCTCGAGATTTCATACTTCAAAGCTCAAACACTTGGGGAACTATGTGTGTGTGTGTGTGTGTGTGTGTGTGTGTGTGTGTGTGTTTATATATATATATATAAGGAAGGCAAAGAAAACTGGAAAAGTCAGATTCAAGTCAAGCATATGGTCTACCCAACAAATCGAAAGTTAAGAGAAAAGTCAAGAGCCAAAAACACAAGCCTGATTCAAAAACCTATAAAGAATACACTCGTGGATGTAAATTTCAAAATATTACGAATGTTTAGGTTAAAGGCAATATTTAGTCATGGGTTGCAAGATATATCCTTGAATTTTGTAAAAAATGTTATAAAAAAATAGTTTTGAAAGAGTTATATATGATACTTGAATACATGTAAAGTGTTATACAATTTAAAAGTTCGAATGATACAAAACTTCCTCAAAGTTATTCAAAGAAACGTGTGTGTTCCTATTTATTCTTTCATATGTTTACACTATTATGAAGTTGAGACGTCTTCTTCATTAAGTATCGTTTATAAAAGGGCCCTCTTTTATGATTCGTGCATGTTCAAAAAGTCACGGAGTATTGAAGCATTTTTAAATGCATAATAAAAAAGTAGAACAGAAATTCAAAATGAAATATTATATAAAACCGGTTAAAACTAAGTGTAAACTTAGTTCAAACCAAAGTATTTTATATTGAACCTCAGAACGGATCAGGGGTAAAACTTGCCAACCATTCCACAAATAAAAAAAAATACAATAAACTTTCCAAAAATAAGTTCACTATGGGGCAAATTCTAAAGTAGTACTATCAGCATCGGGAGAAGTCAAGATGGCATCATCAGCAGCAGCAGAAGGTTCGACTTGAGCAGAAGAGATTTGAACACTAACTTCACCAGGAGTAAGTTCATCACCCTCAGGAATGCCGACCTCAGGTGAAGAAAAGTTTTGACTCTGCTGAGTTTTTTCAATGGTTTCCTTAGTTTTTGCAATCTCAGCAGTCAAATCAAAACCTTCCTGGTTAGCCTCCATCAAAGCTCGAGGCGCATGTTCAAGAAAGTCCATCTTACATCAAGAGTTGATTTATCCTCAAGGGCCTCATAATCCCTCTCCCATTGCTCAATTTTGGCCCCCAACTCTTCTTTTTCAGTCAAAGCAGCATCATAAGAAGTTTGTAAAGGGGCGAATGATCTCTCTAAGAACTGGACCTTGTTAGAAGATGCACGGAGGTCTTCTTGAGCCTGAGTGAGCGTTTGAACGAGCTCCCCGGCATAGACTTCCTTCTGATTAAGCTTCAGACCCCTAATTTCCTCAATAGCTTTAGAAAGCTGCTCGATAAATGAAGACTCAAGGAGGTCTTTATCCTTGCCCACTTAACTGGAAGAGGCTTTTTCAATCGCCAATTCTGCTGCCATCACTTTCACTTGCTATTCCAAAGTACACTTTTCCTCATCTAAAACTTCTTTTTCTAACTGAAGGCCTTCAAATTGTTCTTTTCAGTTGTCTGCTTCCGTATGATAGTCGTTGACTAACTGCTTAGTATGGACAATTCTCTTCATCAGCTCTGTGCCTATCAGGTTGATCTACAAAATAAAGGGAAAAAGTGATTATCAAACAAAGATAAAGAAATCACAAGGAAAGTAAAAAAAAAAAAACTAAGGCTTATACCTTCAAAGATGAATGGACAATGTCATTCATCCATGTCAAAGAGCTATGGTATTCCAATTTAGACTTCTCAACTGGGCCAATCAGTGATTTCAGCCATACATCAGCTTGGCTAGACTTTTTCAAAAGATTACCATCCTCGGGGACTTCAATGGTAACCTTTTTCATCATCCTACTGCTACTGGAAGAACCAACTTCAACATGAGAAGTGGTAGCAATAAGGACAGTTGAGGAAGTAAAAATATCCACAGAAGGAGCAGTGGCAGCAACAACAGCCGCGGAAAACTGAGAAACAATAGGAGCAGATACTGGAAAGGAGGCAAGGGGTGCTTCATCAGAAACTAAGCCAAAGTTTTCACTATCAAACCCACGGGAAAACAACTGTTATGTAGAGTCACGAGGTGCAGCAATCATCTCTTCATCAGAGCTCACCAAAGTGGCACTTTCAGGCTCATTCACGGGAACTGAATTTGGAGGAGGAGTGGCTTCATCATCCGAAACAACACGTCTCCTAGCCCGAGGCTTACGCACTAAAGAGCCCTCCTCTCGTTCCTCTTCACCCTCAGAACCATGAGCTCTCTCTGCTTTTCTCTTTGATGAAGAACTCAAAATCATCTCTCGAGCCATGGACAAAGAAAGTCTTGATGAAGCAATAGACGCGGCACTAATACCCCGAATGGGAAACCCTACCAGAAGAAGAAGTTAGTAAATCTCCAAATAAATATGAAAGAAAGGTAGAAAGTTAAAGGGAAGCATACCATGAGTTTTAACTTACCAACCAAACCTATGAGAAAGGTATTTCCAAGACCTTCCTTTCATAGGAGCAACCGATAACAATTTTT